CCCAAGAGGCACTGTGTACCATAAAATCACCCCAATTCTGGGCCTGGGATTACAGGTCCTTTCTCCTGAAATCATCATCATCTTCTCCACATGAATTCAAAAAATAAAAATTAATGACTAACCAACTCCGTAGTTGCCAGGTACTGAGAGACTACAGAAGAACATGGCTATAGTCTTATTTTTAAACAGTTGCTAGCTGAGAACTGTAGTGTCTTTCCAAATGTCATACTATGTGGTTGCAGTCGCTCAGTCTTCTCCAACTTTTTACAGCCCTACGGACTGTAGCTCGCCAGACTCCTCTGTTCATGGGATTTTCTAGGCAAGAATACTGGAGTAGGTTGTCATTTCCTTCTCCAAGGGATCTTCCTGACCCAGGGATTGAACCCATGCTCTTTGTGTCTCCTGCATTGGCACGCAGATTCTTTACCATTAGTGCCACCTGGGAAGCCCATTATACTACATATATTTAGCATATGGTGTATGTGCTAAGTCACTTCAGTTGAATCCAGCTCTTTGTGACTCCATGGACTATAGCTGCCAGACTTCTCTGTCCATGGGATTCTCCAGGCAAGAATACTGAAGTGGGTTGCCATGTCCTCCTCCAGGGTATCTTTCCAATCCAGGGACTGAACCGGCATCTCTTATGTCTCCTGCATTGGCAGGTGGGTTCTTTACCACTAGCACCACGTGGGAATTTAGCATTTTATTGCTTCTGAATTTATCAAGATAAAGAGCAACATCAGGTAACAATCATATAAGAAATTATACTCGAGGTTATTTGGACACTGTGTTAGTTCTCAGTACAAAAACTAGGCAACTTCAACAATAGAAATTTGCTATCTTACAGTTCTGAAGGCTAGATATCCTGAACGTAGGTGTTGGCAGGGCTGGTAATTCCTTCTGAGGGCTGTGAGGAAGGGCTCTGCCTCAGGCCTTTCTCCTTGGCTTGTAGATGACTGTTCTCATGTTCACAGAGCACACTCCCTCTGTATCTGTCTCCAAAATTCCCACTTTATAAGGGCACCAACGATGTTGAATTAGGGCCCACACGAATGACCCCATTTTGAGTTGATCACCTCTGTAAAGACACTATCTCTCAATAAGGCTACATATTCTGAGGTACTAGGGGTTAGGACTCCAACATGGGAATTAGATAAGGTGAGACAATTTAACCCACAAAAGACAGTACTGTGAAGTTTTGGTAGAAAGGATCCCAGACACTACTTACTCTCTTCTCCAAAGTTGCTTGCAAAATAATGCTGTGTTAGTTTAATTATGGGCTTCCCAGGTAGTGCTAGTCATAAAGAACTTGCCTCCCAACACTGGAGATGCAGCAGACCTGGATTTGATCCCTCAATCAGGAAGATCCCCTGGAGGAGGGCATGGCAACCCACCCCAGGACTCTTGCCTGGAAAATCCCATGGAGAGAGGAGTATGGAGGGCTACAGTCCATGGGTCACAAAGAGTCAGACACAACTGAAGTGAATTAGCATGCACGCAGTCTAATTATTCACTTTGAGCAACACTATGACTTCCTAAAATAAATACTTAAATGGCACTTTCACCAATGGAGATTGCTCTTAGAAGGAGCATCTGATTTTGTTAACCCAGACAGCTTCTATCAAGATGCAGTTAAAAAAATCCTGGATTTTACCTGGATCTCAACAGAAGAGCAAGTAGAAATAAACAGAAACAGAAATACAGATGGCAAATAAAGGTATAAAAAATTTGGTAATCAAAAATGCAAGTTAGAACAAAATTCTTTTGACTACCAAATTGGCAGAACTTTCAAATCTTGTGGTGTTGGCAAGGGTACAGAATAGGGATCTGTTCACAAACTTCTCTGGGAGTGAGTTTCAACCAGCTTCTTAAGAGTAAAATCTGAACTGCCCCAAATTTAGACTGAACACACTTGAAATGCTAAAATGTGTATTCCTGGGCTCCACTGCTGAGAGCATGAATCCATCCATCAGATATGGGATCCTGTGTCTTTGGGCTAGTATGGGTATCCTGATACAAGTTATCCCCGGGCCACACTTGGGGACAGTGTGCTCTAGACCGTGGGCGGAGCTGAGCAAATCATCTTAGCAATGGGACTGTGCAGGGCCTGCCAATTGAATGTCTTGTCCAATTAGGTTTAATTAATTGAGAGCAATATTTCAATGCTAAGACAAAAAGTACCAAGTCATACTTGCTACTGGTGGGCTTTGACGTTGGGTCACAAACAGTTCAGCTTTTACAATATTTATTCTCTTTGGCATAGCAAATCAACTTTTGAAAAAAAAAAAATCTATCCCAAGGACATAATCAGGTTTTATTCAAAACATTGGTAGGATTACAGAAATTATTTAAGAGTGAGTTCTAAAAATAAGAAGAGGATGAAGCTACTCTTAATAACTTTTCCTTAAAATTCTGGCTCTCAGTAGGAGAACTTAAAAGGGAAGAGCACGCTTGCTTTGGTCCTCATATTCAGGCTTTGTTTTGCAAATGTTTTCTGGTTACCATGGCAACTTCTGGATTTCTCTGTGTAAATGGGAAATTGGGAACCTCGTCTTCTGAAAAAAAATGATTAGTGTGTTCTTTTTATCCTGGTAAGCTCATTGCGTGCTGACAAATTACATTCTGACAGCTCAGTTGTAATCTAAAACATGCCTCTCTGGAGACTCTGAATAATAAAGTATTTCCAGGGATTGACAGTTATTCTTCATTTATATTTTTATGTATTTGCTTTCAATGAATTCAAGAGATAAACTGAAGTGTTCCATACTTGCTGTGCTTTTTAAATAATTCAGAAATGTATCCTCACTTGAAAAATCTGACATGTGTCAATTTGATTACCGTGCTCATGAATTGTGGTGTAAGGAAAGAACATAAGCTTCTGAAATGGTCAGACTTGGAGCTGAAGCCCAGTTCTGCCACCTACGAGCAGTGCGACCTTGGGCAAGCAGTCTAACTCTTTGAGCCTTAGTTTCCATCTATAAAATGAGAGTCAGAAATAATACACACAAGTATTCACAACAGTGACAAGTCTACTGAGTAGGCTCTTGATAGAACATGGTAGTTATTACCAAAGAAAAAAATAATAAAAGAAAGCACAGAAACATCCAAAACCTATTAGACTTGGTTTAAAAGCAATCAGGTTTCACACAGGAAAAAAAATGAATAAAATTTTAAAGTAATGTACAACCAGCATTATTAGAATTGGACTTCTCCAGATTTCAGCTATGTGTACTATTTATTGTGAAATACTCAACAGTAAATAATAGGAAACAACTGTCAGAATTTTCTAAGATGGTAGAACAGAAAAGCTTATACAAAGGCAGCTCAAGGTCCTCAAAACTTTACACAACCATAATCTGAAAAGATGCAGTTGGCTGAAGTTAGAGGCATAACTTTGAAAGCGCAAATGGCCAAGCTTCTTTGCTATCAGGGGTTGTGGTGAACCAGGGCCAGGAGCCCTCCCTGACCCATTCAAGATGAAGGGATGGAATCATGAGGACAAGGCCTAGACTCCTCAGGGATGAGTCACTTTAGGAAGATGGTCAACAAAGAGGCAGGGGTAGGTTTCGCCTCATGTTTTCCAGAAGCATTTATGATCTACCATTTTTCTTTTTCATACTCTGTTGGTGGGCAGGACCCATTTATAGTCTGTACCTCTCAGTTTGCTGTTGATTAAACTATGTATGGAGGAGGAGGATTTTTAGTGAAGCATGTTAAATCTTTCATTATTATACTCCCTACTTCTTAATCTGCCTTTATTTCTCTTTCTTCAATTACTGTGACAAATGAGCACGATGGATGACTGCATGGGCAAAATGCTGAAACAATACACAGATGCAAAATACTGTAAACAACAGAAAACATTCTGAAATTAAAAACTAGGCACAGCTCTCTTTAAGTGAAAATAATAATTTAAGGGTCCTTAAATCCATATTATATGTGGCACCTAAAATCAACATTTTTAAGCTAGTCTGTTGAAAAGTACTGATGCAGAACCAGTAAAACAACGTGAAACTAAGGGCCCAGCACAATGACAGAGGTCATCACCACGCTTTCACTACCTATTTCCCATTTATCTATCTTGTATTTAAGGTGGTACATCCCAAGGGGTAAAAATGGGGCAGAAAGAAAGTCACTTGAGGGAGACTTTCTCAGACTACTTTTCCTCCCAGCTTATCAGCTCTTCTACTGTTGTTCATCAGAGACAAGGTAGAACACAGAACTCAGGGAGCCTGGTTTAAAAAGGGAAGTGCCTGTGATCACAGTGAACTGTTCACCCGAATCACCAGTAGCAGTCCTTAATTCCTTTCAGTGCAGCGGTGGCTGAATGAGACTTTTGTGACCTTCCATCTCCAATCAGTAACTGCTTGAGGCCCATGACCCAGCTGGGTCAATCCTGTCTCTGGCCTATGGTTCCAAGGCAAAATACAGGTGACCAGTTAGGTGTGAATGTCAGATTAGCAACAAATAGCTTTTAGCACAAGTATATCCCCAATACTGCACTGAAGCATACTTCTACCACACACCATGGCGGAGTTCCTGGATCTGCCAAGAGCTGCAAACACATAGCGCACTTCCTACGTTCCATGTGTTACTCTAAATTCTTCATTAATTCTCTAAACCCATGAAAATCCATGGATAGGTAAACAAATGCCAGTATATGGATGACTGGAGGCTAGGAAGAATAAGCTATGTAATTTTAAGTTTCAAAAATTATGCAAAAATTCCTATCATGAAGACGTCTGATGAGTTCTCATGGGCTGGCGGCAAATCACTTTGTATAAAATTTAAAAATACAAAATTAAAAGAGACTAGATTTTAGTCCCTGCTCACTAACTAGCTAGAAGACCTTGAGAAAGTCTCCTCAGTTCTCTGGTTCTAGGTTTCCTTTTCCTAAAAGATGGGATTTAGGTGAGATTATTTTTAAAGTCATTGCTGGCCCCCAGATTCCATTATATCTTACAGTGTGCAAACACGGCTTGCAGAGAAAAGCTTATTACCTCTGCAATCATTCTGTTGGTGTCACCCAAGAAAAGCAGATTCAGGGCTTCTTCCTCTGTGGTCGCCTGATGAAGAGACAAGTTTTTCAGGTGGATGTTCTGATCAGGGTCCTCCAGGACTGTCACTTTCCTAGGGAAAAAGGAAACAACAACACAAGGCACTTTGAGAAGGAAAAGAATTTCAAGTCTTTCTTACAGGTTTCTTTTTTCAAGGCCGTATGTATGACGCCTTGAATTTATAAAATCAAAAAGTACACAGGACACTAGACAGTACTGGATTAGCATCCATACCGACATTCCCTTGACAGTACTACCAAATAGCTTTGGGGCTGAAAAGTACATTACAAGCTCCTAATTCAAAGGCAGCTTTTTTGGGGAATCATCAGATCCCCAAAGCATATTGGGAAATGCATATTCTTATTGCATTTAAAACGCCTTCTACCTATGTCAGGAAACTTGGCTATGCCTTTTTTTGCCATGTCATAATTCAGTTTCTTACGTTAGGTGGTGCTGATTTTTCTCCTTCTAATTTTTCCCTTTTGTTCAATTTCATATCACTTCAATCTATGTGACATTTCAAACTGGTTAGCTCACCAATTTAAACATGATGAAAATGGAGGCATTTGTCATCCCTCTCGGAGTTATTCCCTGGTTTTCTTATCAGGGTGAGTTAAAAATTCTCAGGAAGTCTTATAGTAAAATCCTAGTTTATAATTATTATTTTTATGTCCATCAGATATGCTTTTTGACCTTTCTTCTTTTACAGCATCACTTTTCCTTCCATTGAATCCGTAGGTTTGGAATTACATTCATTTATTAAAACTCCTCAAGAGACATTTTGGTGCCAACACTGTTTCGTCCCATGTGAATCTTAACACTGTCTCAAGAGCTGACTTGTGAAAACTCTCCTCAGAGTCCTGTTAGGACTTCTGGCAACTTCTGAAACATAATTTGGCTAAATTCCTAATGGACTTCTTTCAAAGGACTACAAATTCAAGCAACAGAATTACTAAAGAGAGTTCCCTTCTACCTCTTGAGTTTTGCCTTCGTGATCATTTTAAAAATTGTTGAAGAAAGAAAATCTGTAATTTACAAGTGTTGCCAAGTGTCTCTCCAGGTATCTGCATTTGCTTACAACAGCAGAATTGATGACAGTAGGTCAATGTTGGCATCATCTAGCACTATGCCTTCCTTCAAAGTACAACTAGCAAGTGGACATATGTCACTTGCCTACTGACAAAAATACACTTAGAAAACTTTAAAAATGAAGATTTTGCAAAGACCATAATTTTTCAGCCTTCCCTTTTGTAAGGGGACTATCTGGATTTTCATATGTAATTTGTGGGCACTTAAAATACTAATTGCAGGAAGTGTAGTTTTTCCAGCCCATCTGTGACCAATATGTCACTAATAATGCAGCTTGTTGCCAAGTTTTGGGCTTCTTTTTGTCTCCTTCAATAATACCAATAAGATGGAAAAGGATCTCTTCCCTTAATGGAAACAAGTGTATTTTATTTATTTTTCAACAAGGCTCATAAGTCAGCTTATTAAAAATGCTTAAGAGTTAAAAAAATGCTTGGAAAATATGAAGGCATTTTAAAACTGAAATAGATGAATTGTGCTCTATTTTTAGGAACCCTCTTTATTCCTTAAGCTTTATTTCCACTGTGATTCTTCTGAAATGCTTGAGAAGGTTTGGTAAATGCAATCCCTAGGGATACAAAAGTCAGAATTCTTCTTAAATCTACAGATTCTACATCTTAAAGGTGAAAGAAGTTAAGTAATATGGGAAGGAAGATAAAAGCATGAAATGAGTGATATGACAGAACATCAGAAGTGAGAAAAGAAGAGAGTTCTGTCTTTTTCAACATGAAGAAGAAAACAAGTTCTTCAACTCTGAGGCAAAGTCACCTGCAATATATGTTGTAAGACCAAGTCAGATACAAAACCACCCTGTGCAAGATCAGAAAAGGGGGAGATGAGGGAGCAGAAAATGATTCAAAGAGGAGGATGCTCACACTCCCTGGGCACTGAAAGTCCCCTTTAATCCAGTCATTCTCACCCTGGCTGCATATAGGACCAGCCTTCAGAATGTAAATAAAACAACATATCAGTACCAGGTGTCCTCTTAAAAGATTCTGATTTGAATATTCTGGAGTGCGGACTGGGTACCAGAGTCTGTAAAGGCTCCAGTGATTCTACTGTGCAGCCAAGATTGAGAGTTACTGACTTCATCTTTAATGACCATACAAGGTGGACATATGGGAAGATTTCTGGTTTCTTTATAGCTACTTTCCACCCAGCTCCACCTAAGCCCAAAGAGGAGAGTTACTCATCTTACTGGTTGAAGTCACTTTGGGTCATAAATCTACTAACAGGCAAGGTCCCTGTGAATTTTACAAAGCTTGTCCTTCCACAGGAAGTTTCCTTTTTCTACCTCCCTGACCATGTCACTGATGGGTAAACTAAGCCACCCATTAACCACAGCAATAACTAATGCTCAACTGTGGATTATGGATCTTCCTGGACATCCACAGGGTTTATATCATGGCTGAATCAAAAAATATAAATGTAATATCATACATAATCTCCTCACCATTACCTCATTGAAATTAAAAAAAAAAATGCAGAAAACCAGCATGTACAGAATTCTAAAAGTGTTCAACCTTTTAGATAACCTGAATGGCTCATTGATTTAGATTACACTTACAAAGAATAGTTAGACACATAACAGAGGATGTATGGAATGTCATCATCGGCATTTGGCTAAATTACTCAGAGCCTCTGATCTGCAATGTATTATGCTTCTACATTTACTTCCGGGTGCTTGTCCAGCTATGTCACTTTGATCACAATTTGCATGTGCTTCAATTTTTCTGCATAGAAATCTCAGTCATCTTTTATAACTCATCACCATGTATTTCTCTGACTGTTTTCTGATTCTTCACTTGAGCTTAGCCAAAAGGATGAGAAGCAATTCTTTTCTGGTTCTGTTTCCCTCACTGTTTGCTTATTTTTGCCCACTGAGGTTTTGAAAAGTAAATAAAAAGACAGGTTGGTGTCCAGTTTAGCTTGGCTTCTCTCAGGGTTCTCTCCCTGCTCCGGGCTCATCTGTGGGCACCCTTTAATAAGAAGGCTCTGCCTCTGGCATCTTTCTGGAATCTTCTGTGGTGCAACTTTCTCCAATCAGGGTCTCCCTTGCCAGTTCTTCTCCTCAGATTCTTTCCTGGTTTCTGCCCAATCCCTTGGGCATGAGGCTTTGGACTTTCCCTTATTGCCCTGCCTGTTCTTATTGAAAATTCCTTTTGCACTCACCCTCACAACCCACTTGTCAGCCCCACCCACTCTTACACTTTGCTCAGAGAAGCAAGGCCTGAGCTGGGGGTACTTCCTCTTACCTAAATTGGTTAATCTGGTGGTGAGGATGTTTTAAACTCTGCTGTTGGTGGAGAATTTTCAAAGTCAGAGGAAATAAGAACCATTAGCAAAAGTTTCTTATTAAGTTGCTTCCTTCCCTGCCCCCCAACCCCAACTCCCCAGCTCTCTCACAAATCAATAGCTATTTCCTGAATCCTTAGTCCACTACTCCATTCTGGCTATAATTTTCATAGCTTGAAAGAGGGCTTTATTGGAGTTTCTTAAATAAACATCTTAATTCCAAGATGGAAACCCCCCAAACTATTTGTTTGATTCTCTTTGAAAGGGCCTGTGAATAGTTTTCTCTACAAAATGTTTCTAAAATGTTTAGGTTTTGAGCAAGAAGTCACTGATAGCCTTAACTTGGACCCCTAAGTGGAAAAGTTCTGCTAAGTACACTCAGCCTGCCTAATGATGGGGAAGAAGCAAGCTTTGTGTTTTCTCTGTAAACAGAGAATCTTTTCCATTTGGCTAAGTAGTTGGAATTTTTAGGCTTTCTAACTGACTGGAAGACATATAAGGAGCAATGGCCAAGCTCTTGTTCCCAATAATGGAAGCCATCAATGGGAGAACCCTCCCCACTGTCCATCCCACCTCCACGACATTCCAGTACCACCAACTCGCTGAACAGGGACTTTCCAGGAGTTATTACAATGAATCTGGTTTCTCACTTTCATGTGATAGACAAATACTGGTGATTTCTTTTTTCTTTTTCCTTCTTTTTACTTGCAAGGGCCCCACATATTGGTACAGCCATGCACTATACAATGGCACCATGTTCAAGATGTTGCAATCCACATCATGTGCCTGCAGATTTATTATGACTTAAGTTGGTCACAGGCAGCTAACTGTCTTCTAACAAAACCAATATATTACAACAATTTTCCAACAGATTAAAAGGCAGGGGTACCTTTTAATAATCACATGAAGGTGCCATACAGACGAGAGGTAGCCCTGTCTAGTCACCTTGACTTTGAACAGTATCAATATCAAGAGCAGGTGGGCCTCATAAAAATGGGAGGTTATCCATGAGGCTCTTCTAAATAACTGAAAGTATCTCACATGTTGTAAACACAGCCCTGCTATTCATTTCAGTAAAGAGAAAATCCTATAGTTTAGTGTTTTTCTACCTCCTTCCCCCTCATCCTACTCCAACCCATTTTCAGAAGCTCTCTACAGGAAAGATTTGGGGGAAGGGAGGATATAAATTTGGTAGACTTTCTTCAGATTGATTAAAAATCTCAAATATTTCTTCTGTTATAAAATATAAATAGTTGAAACATATCACTTACGAAAGTTTTACGAATGTGCAATAAATTTTTCTGTTGGTCTTAACCTAGATAGATTGGGCTAAAAGGATACTTTTTCTATTTAACCACTATTAAGATATTTTGAAAACTCTTCCTAGTATTTTGAAAAAGATATCTTTTCTTTCTTGTTTTATCTAATATTATACCTTCTTACTGATAAGGAAAAATATAGCCAATCACATGACACTTTAGGTTGAGTTATTTATTTTAGCCTACAAAGACACCAGGTTTTCAACCAAAGATTTAAGGAAAATGTTAAACCAACTATCTACAATCTCATTCAAAAGAGAGAAGCAGAGGAAATACTTCCTAACTCATACTATGAGGCCAGCATTACACTTATACCAAAACCAGACAAAGACATAATGAGTAAAGACAACTCTAGACCATATCTCTCATGAAT